CCAGGGTCCGTGATATCAGCAGGACTGGAGGGAATGCATAAAGGAGCATTTTTTGGCCACGGGCTGTGAGCAAAAGCGTCCACTCCTAACGGTGGGTCGTCTCTTGTGCTCAGTGAGAACCATAATTGACACTGGGCGTTCTCCCGTGTGGCGGACAGATCCACTGCTGCTCGGCCAGAAATTGCTCCCAAAACTGAGAAAAACAGCTCAGGAGGAAGGCTCCAGTCTCTGTGGCGGGGACTGCCCCTCGACATGATGTCCACTCACCTGTTCAGGAATGTTTGGAAAGTACACTGCTCTGATGGAGAGCAGATTCATGTGTGGCCAACACAACAGCTGTTTTGCGATGCATAACAGTTGGGCTGAGCGCACACCTCCCTGACGGTGTATGTAAACTGCCGTCATTTGTTGTCTGTGTGGATCAGAACATGCTGATCCTGCAGCAGGGGCAAAATGCTGAGTCACGTTTCAGACCGTGAAAAAAACATTCTAGCACATTTATGTGAAGTGACATGTGGTCCAGCCACTGTGATCCCACTGCTTGAGATAGACACATTCCTCCCAGCTTGACAGGAATGTGTCTGTGAAAACTGAGACGTGTGATGTAGGCCTGCTGATGGGAACTCCCTCTAACAGAATGAGGGGGTTTCCCCAGTGATTCAGATCATTTCTCACAGAGGGGGGCATAAAGATAATCCACCTCTTCTGGCGCACAGGATCTATGCGCAGGTGGGCGAACCATCTCTGAAGGCCTCTCATGTGAAGTAGGTCCAACAGAACCACGATGTGGGCCGCTGACATCGTCCCAGGCGTTGTATGACAGGCAGAACTGTCACTATGCTGCAGGGTTTGACACGGCGAAGCTGAGTTGACAGAGCTTCGGCTCTCAGCTGTGATAAATGGCCCTCATTGTAGTTGAGTTAGCTCCACTTCCAGATAAACAATCATTTGGGACAGACAAACAGAAGTTTTTCCCAGTTTATAGAAACCCCAGGTTAGCAGGTGTAACACTAGTGTTTTGGTCTGTGCGACAGCTTTCTAATTGGACCGAGCTAATAAGAGCCAATCGTCCAGATAAAAGGATTTCTCATTCCTTCCATGTGTAACGACTGCAGAGCCATCTCCACGCATTTCGAGAACGTGCGTGGGGTGTTTCAGAATGATGGAAATGTGAAATATGCGCTCTTTAGCTCTATGGAGGTGAAAACCAGTCGTTCTGGTGAAGTTCTCCAGCAGCTGTTGGGAGCTCTGGAAAACACGTTTTTCGTCAGAAATTCCTAAACTTCTGACTGGAGATATGAGCTCTGTTCTGGAGAAGACAGGACTGTCTCTATAATCCCTCTGAAACGGTGGGGGTTGAGCTGCGAACTGTAGCGTGTAACCCCTTCTGATTAGATGATCCGTCCATCTGTCCAGGGAACACACTCGCTGCCACTCTGAGTAGCGCTCGGAGAGTGGGCACGCATTGTGTTGTGTCATGTTTCTCATGAATGTCAACCAGACTAAAAAATCCTTACTGCCATCACTCGCTCCGAAGATTCTCCAGGGGAACCCAATGGGGGCTCTGACAGAAAAAAGGCTGTATGTGTGCCTCTGTGCTGGGCCCAGGCTGCGATCTCACATAGAGCTGAGGTGAATCGACGTGCACCAAAGGAGGTGTGAGCACTTTCTGAGTGAGACACCGTTTCGGTGGAGGCTGCAGCTGTCGTGGAGAAACATGTTTACTCCCGGTGTGCTGTGAGTGGGCAGAAAAACAGCAGAAAATAAAAATAGGCTCTGGCAGAGAGACGAAGGATTTTACCAGACTTGGTCTGCTGAAAAAACATAATTTTCGCTGATGTGGCAGACGAGTATTGTGATATTTACTGAACTGCGGTACCTTTTAAAACACTGTTTAGAGGTTACTGGCTCATTCTGTGTGGGAATGTGTGAAGAGAGGCAGCTGAGAGATCAGCTGATCTGACAGACTCAGATGAAAAAACTTTCAGAGGTGTTTCTGTTTTATATCAAAAACATACATCATCAAAAAACACATACCTTTCCCTCAAGGATCTGTTACCTGGTGGAGGGGGGCGGCGGAGGAGCAGGGCATGAAGTCACTGCCGCAGTTGTGGAATGCCTCCGGTGCTGTTGCTGGCCAAGGCAGTCCCTCCAGCGGCTGGAGGGGCAGATGGACTGTGACGTCACTAGATGGTGTACAGTCTCTGAGACCTCCTTAAACCTCTGCGATTCCTCAAGGATGGTCCTGAAGTTGGCCCCGAACAGCGCCTCTAGGGTGATGGGGCCCTCCAGCAGGTCTTTCTGCAGCCTCTCGGACATGGATGGAGAGAGGCGGAGCCAAGTGGTCCTCTGGATCATGGTCATCCAGGCGGTGATGCGGAACAGGCAAATCGCAGAGGTGACACATGTTTAAGATGACATCAGCAGCTTTACAAAGAGAGCTCTTGTCACCTCCAGCAGGTCTGCTTCTTCCAGCTTCTTCGAGATGCTGTAGGCCAGCAGGGCAACGTTGTTGTTCGCTGCAGCCGTCTGGAATGATCACTGGTGAGCTTGGTTGGAGACCTTGTCACTATCTGGTCATGCTTTCTTGGAGGGATAGGTTGCTGGTCCATCCTGGATGCATTGTCCCCAAGTGCCACCCGCCATGCTTGGCTCCGGGGGGGAGGGGGACCGAGGGTAAAACACTGATCGGTAAAACCCTCCACTCTGGAGATGGAGACGAAGGTGGAGACGGCTGTCTTCAGCTTGCCAGCCCAGCTGCAGCCTCGTTCCAGTGTGACATCACAACTGGAAAGCGAGGCCAGATGAATCAGGGCGATGAGCCCGGGCGGAGCCAACCTTGCTGCCAGATCATCCGATCAGGGCGGAAGGAGGCGGGGGATGGAAAGTCCCTTGTGTTAACATCCTCCTGGATTATGTCGGGCAGCTCTGAGAGAGGGCACCAACGGCTAGGTGTGGTGTGGTCGCCGACGTGAGAAGATCTAAGGTGGCGGAGCATTCGCTCGGCCACTCGTCTTCTGTCACTACGCTCTCCAGGAGGGAAGGGGCAGCTCCGCATCGCCTTTCTCGGAGGAGTCATTCGGTTCACTGCGTGACTCTGCATCACAGAAGGCGGTGGCGAAAAAAACATTCAGCGGAGCTGCTGTCAACAACGCCTTTTTCAAGGAAATCATCCGATTTACCTCGAGAAAAAAAACATGTTAGAAAAGGTGGTGGCATCATCCAGCGAGTAGCGGCCCTCCACGGAAAAACATTCAGCGGGGCTGCTGCTAACATCGCCTTTTTGAGGAAATCATACGATTACCGCAAGGAAAAAAACATGTTAGAAAAGGCGATGGCGTCATCCAGCGGATAGCGGCCCGCCATGGAAAAGCACTCCTCGGTGCTTACCTTGAACAAGGCTGTTCATCTGCTTCTCCTCGGGGAGGAAGAACTCACCGGGACGGCAGGAGGTTGGCGTGGCAGAGACCCAGGCATCCTTAGCAAAGGTTGTGCCAGTCAAAGCTGGACAACTTTTCCTTCTTCGTTCTTCTGACAGTGCTATCTAGCTGGCTGAAGAAAAAAAATGGGAGCCGATTCCCGGTCTCACCGTAATTCATACGGACTGGGGGCAAGGCCCACACAGCAGGTGGGCGTGGACTAAAGTTTTCAGTGCTGCGCTGAGTGCCTTAGGGATAAACCCACTAGCGAGAAGCCTTAAAGGGCAAAGCCTAAATGAAATAGAACTGCTGGTTCCTCTGGTAAAGAAAAATGGGAACAAAAATGTCATTTGTTCCAGCTGCTGTTTGTTCTTCATAGGGTCCTATTTAAACGTAGCCTCACATGACTGTTGACTGCTGGGATGTTTTTAATGTATTTTAGAATTGGTTTTATTGGGTTAGCAATGCTTTTCCAAGTTTTATGGATTTTTTTTTACAAGATATAAGTTTTTGAGGTTCTCATAGCAAATAGCAAATGCATACACATTTGTTAGTTATAGCATATATAGAGAAACCCCAACTCACCCCCCACCCCCCACCCCACCCCCGGAAACATGAACAATTTCAATAGAACAGGTAAACACACAGCAGGTCCTACAATAACCAAAAAACATTAAAACAAATAAAAAAATAAAAACAGACCATCAGAATAAATAAATAAAAGTAAAAATAAAAAACAAAATAAGGCATCATAGCATCCCTTATGTAATTGTAAAGTTAAGGCCTGTGGGATCTAGTCTGTCCAGGAGTGGTTTTCATATCTTAACAAATCCCTCGCTGTCATTCTGTAGGGTGTAGGTCAGTTTTTTTCCCAGTGGGAGTATTCTCAGAAGCTCCTTATACCAGTCATTCAATGTGGGGGCTTCCTGTGATATCCATAACTTGAGGATGACCTTCCTTGCAGCATGTAGACATATTCCTATCAATTTAGTGTTCTGGGTGTTCTTTGCACTGTCCATGTTAGCTCCCTAAATACAGTGATGGGGTGATAATTCGAGGTCATAACCCATCAAAGAGGTCACCTCAACCTGTACCTCACCCCAAAACTTCTCAATGTTGTTGATTATGTTTTTAATGTATCGTGTATTTTAGAATTGGTTTTATTGGGTTAGCAAAGCTTTTTCAAGTTTTATGGCATTTTTAACTTGTGTTGTTTTGTGTGTATGAGCCAGATGTCAAAGATAAATGTCCATCTCATGAAATGTTATGGACAATAAAGTTATAGATTGGTTAATTTTTACCTTGACCCCTATGAGACTCTGTAATTAGAGATGGACTTTAAAACATTTAGTGTAGTCAGTATTTGTCAATTTTCACAAAAAGATATAAAATTATATCAGAACTGTGACTCGAGGGGGAGGGTGGGGGTGTTTGTGGATACAGTGGGCACTAAAGATGTACAAAAATGGCTTTAACATTAAAGAGAGAGAGACGTGAACAAGAGGGTAAGAGGAGATGTCAAGTCTGTGATACAAGCACAAGCGGCATGGCAACACATAGAAAGAGGAAGAAAAGAGTTACCCATATGTAGCCTCCGTTTCACCCGCTTGTCCACATCAGCTACTGACGTGGCATTGAACTCAGAGCTCTCAATTGCAGCCTCATCTTTCTCTAAAACACAAGTGACAAGGGGACAAACAGTGAGCAGCAGGTTAATGAGAAGCCCAGATGACCAGACCTTTAGCCCTACTCAGCGTTTGAGAAATAAATAAATGAATTATTTAATCAAAGCCAACAAGCAAGAAGCGATGAAGATGTGCCAAAATCCCTGTTAGTGTTAATCCCCAAACAATGATAAATTTCCAGCAGCAAGTAAAAAAAAAAAATACACTTGACCATTATCAGTGTATAGTTTATAAAATGAAGCAGAAAGTATGCAAAATGTAGGCAGGGAAAACTCTTTAGGATGTACAACATGGGGTGGGGATTTTTAAAAACATAAAAATGTGAGATTTTAGGGATGGAATGAGGGTGGGAGTTTGATTCTGATGATGTTGCCGATGGCGTTTATGCCTTCCAAAACAGCCACACTCCCCTAGAAATAATTCCTTTGTGCTAAAAACAGAAGAGGAAGAAAACAAGAGACAGAAAAGGAATTTATGTGAGAGACACTGCTTTGAAAGGACACAAACAAAGGAAACAGGTTGATGTTGACAGCAACAAAAAGAATAAGGGCAGATGAGAGGACAATTGGCATAGAGAAGGTGCTCAAAGGTCTAAGAAAAATAAGATGATGGAGAAAGGACAAGAAACAAGAGAGGGACAAAAGTTTGAATTCAGTCGTGCCTTACATGAGAGGAGGGCTACACACTCTAAACTGAGTTAGGAAAAGTGTGAGAAGAAAATGCACAGAAAAAGGCCAGTAGTCTGGGGGCAGTGCTGGTTGCCTGTTCGTCTATGGAACACATCACAACTGGCTTGAACAGTCAACACCGAACAAACCACATTTCCAAAAGCTGTGGCGAAGGATGAATGACGAGAAGAGAAATTGAGATATGTTACACCGGTTGGAGCTCAAGTGGCATGCATGTCCTGCACTGGGTACGGCAGTTTGATGAAGAGGCTGGGAGAGGAAGCCAGTCTTTCACTCAGCCGGACTCATTAAGGCCTGAATGAGCATCTCTGTATGAATGCTGCAACGGAAAAGGCCTTTGATGTCTGACGGAGTGGATGTGGCACAATTAATGTTCCTTCCACCTCTGCTGCACAAGCTTGCTACCTTTTTCTCTTGTGTGCGATGGACAAAGTGAAGGACTTTCTGAAGCACATTCGGGGATGAATGGAGTCTTTCTGGAGCTCGGCTAACAGGAGTGAAATGTGGGTGAATGTGTGATTGTTGAATCAAAAGCTTCTGCATACCAGCTTTTGAGTGTCTGCTTACTTGAATGTGTGAAAAAGAAATCTGTCAGAGAGGGAAATAAAGTGTGTGTGTGTGTTGTTGTGTGTGTGGTGTGTGTGTGTGTGTATGTGTGTGTGTGAGAGAGAGAGAGAGAGAGAGAGAGAGAGAGAGAGAGAGAGAGAGAGCGAGAGAGAGAGGTGGATTTATAAAAAAAGGTCTTAGTAGGACTCTAAAGGGAAAAGTCCATGCTGCTCATTCCTAAATAGGACTAGAAGTGATGGAGGGGAGGGACGCTGCTTTAGGGACCTATGCAAGATGAGGTGTAGGGGTGGGTGGGGGGCACTGAGCCACTAAGAAAACTAGGAGACTAAGAGTAAACCAATACAATGAAACAAAACAACAACAATAAAATTGTACCTTATTTGATAATAGGAACATAATTTAAAAAGAGGATCCATGTGAATGCAATGTGGGTCTACAAGACAAGCAACGAACTGTATGTTAGTGAAAGAGGAGACCAGGTTGATGGTACGGCCATTTTGAGTAGCTGCATGCAAGAAAAGTGGTAGGCAATAAGAGAAAATTGGGAGGACAGTGCAAGTCCCTGCCTCTTGAATGAGTTGCATGGAGGGTGCTGAGGGATGGACGTCATCTCTGAGTTGGCAGGGTTCTGCTTACAGTCTTTGCTTGCTTCAGCACAAAAAAAAGAAACTGTCCAGATGACCTGACTAAAAATTGTTGGATTGTATACCTGGACTTTTGAGCATGGGCTTTGTTGGTTTTGAACCAGTTTGACATGACTGTCGACGACGGAGAGGGCTGGCACCGGAGGAGGGGGGCCATCCTAGCACCAACATAACTGGTTTGTTCCACTTTGGAGTAAGCTGTTTGGGGGAAGAATCAGTTTTGTGTTGTGTGTTTCCTTGACTGATGAAGCCTTCTGGATGGAAGGTGAAACATTTCAGCAAAAAAAGAAACTGTCCAGATGACCGGACTGAAAATTGTTGGCTTGTATATCTGGATTATTGAGCATGGACTTTGTTAGTCTTTGCTTGGGTTTTTCATGATGACTGTAAGGTAGTGAGAGAACTCAAAATGGAAGTTCGGCTTGCTTCTAGGTGAGTTTTAGTTAAGATTAGGCTGCAAATGAGATGTCCATTTAGACACAGAGTTTCACATAATGCCCCTGACACCCCCCACCCCAACCCAGAGTTGTTACTTTCTTTAGTGATTCTTGATCTTTTTACACGGATATTCAGACAAGACAGGCAATCAGGTACTATCACCAGAAAGCAAGACGAGAGAAAGAAGAGTACAAGGACAAAAAGAAAAGGGTCAAATAGGTATCGGGGTAAAGGAAGACCCAAAAGTTGAAGGGTGTGTGTGTGTGTGTGTGTGTGTCCTTGTTTATGCTACTTTGTGAGGCCCATTTTTCCAACTTATACTGCATTGTGGGGACCAACTGCTCCTTATGGGGCCCAAAGCCCGGGCCCCATAAGAAGAAGTCCCGTTGGTGGGTTAGGGGCTAGGTTTAGGACTAAGGTGTGAATTGAGGATGTGTTAGGTTTAGGGTTAGGTATGTACTGGTAATGGTTAGGTTATGGATAAAGGTCATGGTTAGGCTATAGAAATGAATGGAAGTCAATGCAAAGGCCCCATAAAGATAGCAAAACAAACCTGTGTGTGTGTGTGTGTGTGTGTGTGCGTGTGTGCGTGCGTGCGTGCGTGTGTGTGTGTGTGTGCATGTGTGCATGTGGGAGTGTGTGGAGGGGCATTGTGACCACAAACAGAGAGGCTCCATCTTTCGTTTAAATATGAAGAGAGAGAGAGAAAGAAAAAAGAGCCACAAGATAATAGAAACGAAGACTGGGAGAGTTCCCGTTCTTTTGGCTTCTACACTGCAGCTTCTCCTTGATGGACAGCTCCTCTTCTTCAAAGCAGCTTAAAACAACCAACCAGTCAAAACCAGCCATCTGCTGGAGTGGTTGAGGTGAGACATACAAGAAGACATAACGACAAAATGGAAAAGAGGTGTTGGCTGTTTATTAAATAGGTCATCAGATAAATGTTTAATCAACGGCCTCAGTGAGAAGTTTGTCTGTTCAGTTCAGGAAAAAAGCTGGGCAGGATTATAACCTGAATCTCTCACTCTCTGCTCTTTGAATTGAGAAAGCTCCTCGGATGAGGAGCGAAACGTCTTCTGTTACAAATAAAGTCCAGTTGTTTTTGTATTGAACACTTTTTGAATTCATCATGTCCTGGATGACTGAGAATCTTCACCAGCAAGTTGGGCAGGATGGTGGGGGTTAGCACTTTTTTTCCCCAGAGGGCCAATTTTAAGATGTTTAAAGCAAAGTGTCATCCTTTTTGGGCTGGGGGGGTCACTGGTGCCCATTTCCAGCCATCACTCTGCGAGACAGGGGACAACTGGACAGGTCTCCAGTCCATCACAGGGACATGTAGAGACAAATGAGACAAACAACCATTCACTGTCTCTCACCTAGAGACAATTTAGAGTTACCAATCAGCCTAACATGCATGTTGTTGGTCTGTGGGAGGAAACTGGAGTACCTGGA